AGTTAACTAAAAACGCTATGAGCGCTATAAGCGTTTCGTGCCCTACCTCGAAATCTTTAGCACAAGTTAGCACGGATGATGACGAAACAATGACGTCACAAAACTTCAATTGGTACTATAAAGCTGCTCCACGAACGGTCAGAGCGCGCTCATGCACCAAATAGCGTCTCCCCGAACGCAGCCTCAGTCTAATGGCTCCTGCACACAGAACGCGGTAATGCTTGCCACGCGGCGGAAGTTTAAAATTGAAGAGATATAATATATTATTGACGGTAACTTAAAATATAATATATTTTTTTAAAATATTAAAATGTTATGCTATATTTGTAAAAAAGACTTCAAGTCTATTAATTTATTAAGTTTTCATTTAAAACGCATTTATGATTTGAAAACAAATTCAATTTATAGGTGTTGTGAATCCAATTGTATTCAAATTTTTAAAAATTTAAATTGCTTTAAAAAGCATATGACGCGTAAACATATAAATGATAAAAATATTAGTAATAAATTTGAAACACAAGATTTTGATTTCGATGATACACAAAATAACATGGAATTAGATGCTAGTGCTAGTCATTCTACTACATCTTTAGTTTCTAATTATCCCGCGTGCATTTGTACATCAGACGATAATATTAATAAAACACAAACATTAGAAACTGTCAGAATAGACAATAATACAATTCCTGAGTTTCAAATGGAAGAATCACTTAAAAAAATGATCAATTATGTTACAGAATTTGTATTTACTCTCCACAATAATAATAATTTCTCCAGAAAAGATGTTTTTAAAGTACAGGAATACGCAAACAAATGTTTAATTGATCCATTATTGGATATTATGAAATTATTTGCTAATAGTAAATTTCAACTAAACAGTTCTGTACATAATGAATTTTGTAGCCTAATATCCAATTGTAGAAACCCCTTCAAATTTTTAAATACTGAGTATCTTTTATATAAATGATTAAAAAGTGAGAATTATATTAAAAATGTGCAAGAATTTACAATGGATAAAATAATTAGTGGAATTCATCGGAACGGTAGTTTTATATATGATGAAAAACAAATAAAGGATGCTCTTATGGCCTTGAGATTTCAATTTAAGAAAATATTTGAAAAGGTAGGATTTTTAAAGCATACGTTAGATAATATTGATTTTTTACAAAAGTGTCCTATATTCACAAATTTTGTGCAAGGTGAATTGTGGAAACAAAAAGCTAAACTTTATCTTAACAAAACAGTGGTGCCATTTTTTGTACTTAGATGATCTTGAAATTAATAATCCTCTTGGATCTCATTCCAAAGTTCATCCAATTTGTAATGTTTACTATTCTTTTCCGTGTTTTCCAATTAAACAATCTAAATTAGAAAATGTATTCTTTGCTGCCATTATAAAATCTACTGGATATCTACTGATATAAAAAATTATGGAAATGAAAAATGTTTTCAGTCTCTTATAAATGAATTAAAATATCTAGAAATAAATGGTATAGACATTAAAATCGATGAAAACTTAAATGTACGCGTTCATTTGATCTTGGGTTTGGTGCTTGGGGGTAACTTAGGATTAAATTCATTTCTAGATTTTAATAAATCGTTTTCGAGTAACTTCTTCTGCCGATTTTGTAAAGCAGGAAAGGAGAATTGTCAAAAACAAAGTACTGAAAATAAGGAATTAATGCGAACAATTACAAATTACGATAATGATTTAAAGATTAATAATTCACAAAGCACTAGAGTTAAAAATAATTCTTTATTAAATGATATTCCATCATTTCATATAGTTGAAAACTATTATGTTGATATCATGCACGATATTTTTGAGGGAGTCTGTCATTACAACTTATGTCATGCAATTACTTATTTCACATTAAAAATGAAATATTTTGATCTGAAAATTTAAATTCAAGAAAACAAAATTTTGAATATGGACCCGAAGACATTAAAAATATTTCAGGTGAAATTACATTATCACATTTAGAAAAAAAACATTTAAAAATGTCAGCTGCAGAGATGATGACATTTGTTATGCATTTTCCTCTTATGGTTGGTGATTTAGAATTTTCTAATTAATTTTATTGAAATTATTGATATTATACTTTGTTTTGAAATTGACGAAGTGAACATTCTTTTATTAGAAAACAAAATTAAAAAACATAATAATGATTACATTAAACTATTTAATGATACGCTGAAGCCCAAGTTTCATAATGTAACTCATTATCCAACAATCTGGACCTTTAAGGAAATTCTGGTGTTTTAAATATGAAGCAAAGCATCGACAATTTAAAATATATTCGCATTGTATTACTTCTCGAAAAAACATTTGTCTTACATTAAGTAGAAAATATCAATTACAATTTGCATATCAATTAATGAAAATTGACAATCTAGCAAATAAAACTTTTAAATTAAATGATAAGTATGAAATATCAAGTAATTATCGTCCTAATACTAGATTTGAGGCTTTCACGGCCATTGATACAATGTCTAGGTATAGCTTCCGGAATAGAGCCGTGTCTTGAATCAGCGATGTGCCGACGTTTCGCAAACGTTGCAGTTTGCATCATCAGGGCTGAGAACTCTGATACTGAGTTCCCTTGGGTAAAGGTTGTCCTTATATTTTGCCAGAAAACATTGTGAAGGACTAGAAATTTTAAAACATCCCAACAACCTCAATCGAGACAAAGGTATGCAAGTAAACTCTATTTGGCATACTGCCCTCCCGGTTTTTAAATTGACCAGCTGATTAATTAAAATACGCTGATTGGCTGGATTCAAGCCTCGTCCCCTACTCCCTAACACCATCTATACAAGGGAGGGCGGGAAGGGGGGCATATAAGGACAACCTTTACCCAAGGGAGCTCAGTATCAGAGTTCTCAGCCCTGATGATGCAAACTGCAACGTTTGCGATACGTCGGCACATCGTTGATTCAAGACACGGCTCCATTCCGGAAGCTATATCTAGACATTAATTATCGTCCTATTATTATTAACAAATTAAAAGTTAATGAAAGAGATATCAAATTATATTCTCGCATTGAGTATAAAGGCGTCGAGTATAACAATAAGAACAACTATATAGCAACTTTTGGAAATGATGTTGAAATATATTTAATATTAGATATTATTTTATTCCGAAACGATGAAATTTTATTTTTCTGTCAAAAGTTGGAAAGGTTGCAATATAAGCAACATGTTTTAGCGCACGAAATTAATGAAACGATTTTAGGACAATTTCTTATAATACTTCCGAATGATATAATCGGACCTCCACTTACTGTAGTAAAAACTGCTAAAGGCAGTTGCTCACTAGTTTGCCAATAAAACAATTGAATAATTTGAAAAGAATTATAATGTGAATTATAATTTGAAAAGAATTATAAAGAATATATAATGTAATTATATTTAGCTATATTATGCATATATTATACATATATAGTATACATATATTAAGTACTATCCGGAATTTATATATAATTCTATTTATATTTTTTAAGTGCATTTATATAGGTATTTTCGATATAATTTAATTATATTTTCAATAATATTACAATATTACTGGCGGTCAAATATCTTGCGGTCAAATGACATGCGACGAAATGTTATGTACCTTTATCACTGTTATAGAATAATGAATGATAAAGAAATTATTCATGCTCCCTGCTTTGAAGATACCACACTGCAACAGGAAATGGAAACCCTTGTAAATGATAATTCATCAGTATCTCGAAGCATCGAAAACATAAATCCTACTTTTTTGTCTGAAAATATTTATCTGTATGATTTACCTGCAATTTTCGAAAATTTTCCTTCAAAATTGACGGCTGTTAGAGTTGATTCACAAATGGATCAAAGCCAGAACAAAAATCCTCATAATGAAACTGCCCCATTAATGTTGGAAAACTTAAATACTCCAAACAATTTACTTTTGCCATATGATTCATTTCAACTGGAGGATAAGAATAAAGACAGAGAGGAATTAAGATTGCTACTTCGAAGTTGGAATCAAGAAGAATTAGTGAATCATCTTCTAAGTAAGTAAATTTCTTATATATCTATGTTTCAGTATAAAATACATTATATCTTTTTTAAGGTGAGAATGTTGTAATAAAAATTCTAAAAATCATAAAGCGACATCATATCGAAAGACTTCTAAAACAATTCGATCTTGCCACTCAAATATTATTCGAAGATAACTTAGAGAAGTGGAGAAATTCTTTAAACCTTCTGCTGGAAACACTAAATATAAATTTTTCCAACTTAACTGGACTACCATCTCCAGGTCTATCAACTGTATCTGTGCCTTCGTCATTGGAATCATCTCGTTTTTAATCTTATAGAAGATTTTGCCAACTCCAGATGAAAATAATATAACGTTATCAACTATTTTAAATAAAACTCCAAAAGGCATAATGTTAGTAGAATACTATAAAAAATATGGAAAACTTGAAGATGAACAAAGATCATTGTTGATCAATACTTGTGCACATTTTTTCGAAGAAAATAGTATTAAGATGTCGATGGCAACAAGTTATAAATTTGAAAAGGAAATATTAGAAACATTTTTTACCGAAAAATTAGTGAGTTTATTTGAAATTTAGAAAAAAAGTTAATATCAATGTGACAAAATGATTAACTCCATTCAATTGATTTAAACATTCTTATTTATTTAAAATAAAAAAAAGATAATAATTGATATATTATTTGCATTATGTTATAGCGACAGTTGTCTACTTTCTTTAATTTCTGCATTTAAATTATAAACAAGAAATAAGTCAGAAAAAATAAAATAAAATAATTTGTAACTAAAAATAAAACAAACTTTTAAATCCTACAAATGTTAAAGATTACTTGCATAAAGATAAAAAATATATATTACAATCATAAATTATAAAATTTTGTAACTATATTATTATTGGAAGAATTATTTTATAATTTTATTTTATAAAAGTTTTATAATTGTAATTTACTTATTTGTTTTTTATTTTTTTGTGTAAATGATTTTCAAATTTTTATAATTGTAGATTTAAATAAAAATGTTTAAAACATAAGCGGACTAGATAAAGTTAAGTTAATCATTTCTTCATTAAAGATCAGTAAGTACAATTTCTTGGATATTTATGTTTATAAATTTTACTTTTAGGAATATTATCGAACAGGTAACCGCGGAAAATTATACAATAAATTTTCCAATTAAAAATCTTCTGTTAAAGCAACACTTGGAAAACATATATTGTCAGAAAAATCAAAAATTTCAAATTTGATTCAACAGGATCAGCAAAAAAAATTTGGTAGGTGCTTTTATTTTATTTAAAGATTATATGATGAATAATGATGTAACGTACAATTAAATGACTTATTTATGTTAGTAGCAGCCCGCAATTGCATCGTTTAATTGAAACAACGTACTTTTTTTTTAATTGAACAGCATTTTTTTCTGTGTACTAGGGATGTCCCAACTATAGATATAGAAAACAACAAATTGACATAAGACACTGACATAAAACATAACTGATTAAAAAAAAAAGTTTTTTATTCAAAATATCTGAATATTACAATATTGATATTTATCACACAATTACCTGTGTAATAAATACTTACATATTCGTACTTGGTTAATTATATTGATCTTACTTCTTTTTTGAATAAAAAAAGAGTTTGAGTTTGTTTGAGTTTGTTATGATCTCATTGCTTTTTGTGTAGATTATTTAGATAAGACTTTTACCTTACTTTTTCCGCAAAGAAAATATATACATCCTTGAAATTTCGTGGCTAATTGCATTTTTTATTGTGGAATCATTAATTGAAATTCATTCTGTGTGCTTATTACGCACAACGCTTGTATAATGCCCATTGTTTGTACTTTTACCATTGTGGAAAATTGCATTAATAATTTTATATATATCTGTGCCTATACGTACTTTTTACGTAGATACATCTTTAATTCATAAATTTGTAATTTTAAACGTTTTGTTATTAGCGGTTTTAAATAACCATACTTTTAAAATGAAGATATTTTTTGTTGTTATTATCTCTTGGTTTTTAATTTCTGTGTTTTTTCCACAATGAGTACATATTTTTTTACTATTTGTCGAACTTGTAAATTATATTCTATTAATTCTTGTAAAATATATGATTTTTCTGACAATTGAAGTATTAAAATATGATTTGACTGGATCTCTATATTCGTATAATTATATATTTTGCATCGTATTTTTACACATATATAATGCTGTATTATATTCTTCATACCATTTATACTGCTAATAAGATGTTATAAATTAAAAATTAAATATA